CGGCTCAAAGTGCAGGAGTAGGAACGGGGTGGTTTTTAGTCAGTAAGAGTCTGACACTTCGTGCCGCTTCACGCTTCACATTCGATGACTTTTTCCCCTTAAAAAAACTAGATTTCTAAGTATGAGCGTTCACCATAATTTCTTAAAAAGAAAACAGAAACATGTAGTAATAAATAAGATTCTTCAGACACGCTCATCGACGCACCCATACTCGAAAAAATTTACTTTGATATTTTATACGTGAAAACTTGAATTATTACGATATTATTTACTTACTAACTTTAAAGTATAAACAGATATGTTTCAAAACACATCATTGTGCGACTATAACTAAATGTTAAGTATTTAAAAGAAAATTATTAACTACTTAATCAAAAAACAATAAATACGAAATAAACTATAGATAAGTCATATTCATATTTGATATATTATGCGTAATTACGTACTGAAACCATATTCCTACTTGTTCCTAGGTACAGACTTTCCGAAATACATAACATAAGTCTTGATTTCAGTGTCAATGACCCATTCTACACCTTTATACTTCTACCTTTAATATCAAAAAGACTATTACTTCTATCTCATGGTCAGAAAATAGGTACATATCGTTATTTTCCCCATTTAAAGACCAACAATGACACTTTATTTTTTCTTACACACAATATTAAGAAGAAATACAGAATAAAGTTTTTTACTCTTTTTGTTAGTGCTATTGTGTTGTTCAACAATGATCTACTTTACATTCTGTACTATTGTGGCTCTTCTATAGCATTATTTCGTACAAATCCCGCGCTTTATCTAGGATTTTAAAGCGTTTCAAAGGAGAATTATTTATTTATAAGTTGTGGAGTGTTTCGGTGGCAACGTACAATATATTGAGCTCTTGAGTGAGTGAAAATCTTTCTTTTTCTCTATTTTCTTATGGAATTTCTACTACGGGAATACGTTGTTTTTGTATGACAAATGTAAAACAGATTTCACATTTATCAGAAAAGAGATTTCATAGATTATCAAGTCACGCATAGGATTAATTAGTGGATATCATAACATCTCGCTTTTTATCCCCGAATAGTGGTAGGTCCACATTTACGGCACTTAATGCCACTGTACAATGTAACACCCACTTTTCACTGTTTATGTTATGAGTCCCATGTAATAGGGTGAGCCTATTGCTATACACCGGACTCAAGGCCAGACTCTGTGCTACTACTGAGATTTTTTTTGATAAATGCATTAATAGTTTGCCTGGTCCGAAAATCGAAACCCAATAAATATTTCATGAGGCAAGCCCTTTGAAATATTGCCTTAAAATATCACCACAACACCATCATTGAAATTACCATTTTAGATCACATATTAAACCGTATCTATTTGCTAAAGAAATAGTACAATTTCAAATCACTAAAACTTTAAACGAAGTACATTATGTTGGTCACAAGCTCACAAGTGAACTGTAAATTCACAGCATAGTTTCCAGGTCATATGTACTTTCTTACAAACCCAGTCCAATTCCTGGATAGTAAACATAGGATCAATTTATTCCTAAAACATGTACTTACGTACCCAACGGGAACGAATAGTAAGGCACGTAATACACAAAGTAAGTTTGCGACAAAAAGCTGGGAAAAGTAAACTCATGTCAATGTATTTGTGTCAAATAGTGATGGATTGACACAAATGTTTGAAATGTTAGATTACGTCTCTTGAGATAACTCTGTGTGTATACCAGCTTTGCATAGTATTACTTACGGAATATTACTTAAGGTTTCCCATAATAGTGATGGATATACGAAGTCTTCTTGATATGATTGCAAACCAGAAAAGTACTTTAGCAAAATAGAGATAATGTATGACAAAAAGGTTTAGACGACAAAAACAATGCTAAAGAAAATTCATGGTGTTCTTGTTTTCTTTTGTTGAAGACTTCTAGTTTATTCGTAACAAATAAATAATCTCGTGTCGTGGTGGCCCGGAGGTTTAAGACGCTGGCTTCTCATGCATGAGAATGCGGGTTCGAAACCTACCAAAACGGCAAGTACCAATGTGACTTTTTCCGAGTTGTATGCACTTTCTAAGATTATTTAGACACCACTGACAAACGGTGAAGGAAAACATCGTGAGGAAACCTGGGCTTATAATTTTTAATTATAAGTTTGTAATCGCCAACCCGCATTGAGCAAGCGTGGTGATTAATGCCCAAACCTTCTCCGTGTAAGAAGAGGCTTTGCTCAGCAGTGGGCATTTATAGGCTGTTGATGATGAAATAATCTTATACTTACTTATTTACCATAGATCTTACCACTAGTGTGATGTTGATTTTTTTTCTTTTGATGGGCCGACGTTTGGCCTCTGTCTCGCCTGGTGGTAAGCGATAATGCGGTCTACGATGGAGCCCGACGTCCCATAAGCAACCTATTCTCTCGGGCCATGAAGACACCCACGTTATTTTCCCTTCAGGAAAAACAGACTCTGGCAAAGAATTCCACTCCTTAGCTGTATGCACTATTTGATGTTAACATCATCTTTCACCAACGCCAAGCATCTTGAGTTGGACTTTTTATAGTTTTTGGATTAGAATCTTTTTAATCCTGTTAATATCTAAACTATTGATTGTCTATTTTTTTTCTTGTTAAAAACATCCCACTTGGATTTTCTCTTGTATCGTGAGTGCGTTTACAAACATAGAATTTCACGTACACATAAGTCTAGGTACTTATGCTTAAGAGACTGGCTTTCAGGTCTCCGTTACCTTCAGCCAGATTATAACAACGCCATCAACTATCTACGATAAATGCTTTCCGTTGATTGTCCAATCAACGGAAAGCATTGATTAGCAAACAATAATAGAGCTAATTATACTCCTTCACCCCTGCATTCGATTATGTATGTAAGATCTTAACTGATTGAGAAGAATAGCACGCAGTATTTATTATCTCAGTCTTTATTAATTCTATCAAAGTAACGGTAATTAGCCTCCTAACTATTTCTACAGCTCAGAAGCATTCCTCAACTATGTATCAGATATATAATTATTATGACGTAGTCGTACTTAATGTCATCCAATTGATTCACCTAGCTTCACTGACAGACTATTATTTATTTTGTATTTGCTGGCGTTTTAAAATTTAAAATTATGGTTATATTGAAATAAATACTTTGTCAATGTAAAATGTATAGAGACACCGAGAACCTAACGCCGCTGCTTTTCTCTGAACTTCACCATCTCGGACTTTTTGAACTTGTGATTTGGATCTAAACAGTTTAATTACAAGGTTCAAAATACACAGCAATAAGGCAAATAAATCTATATAAGCGATTAGTTACTTGCAGTACCAATATGCCAACTGTTACTATAGGATAAACTTCATTTGTTTTATACATAGAATTAGGTACTACAGTATTATAGGGTATCAACCTATAGTAACTACTTCTGAAGCACTGTTCTTTTCACATGGTTCGTTTTTAACTCTTTGGCTGCCGGTAGATAAGGGTTGAAGGCAAATCCACTGCTAACGATGCACATACATATGTCGTACAAAACACTTGAAGGGTTCAAGTTTAAAAAAGTAAAGGAGGGATAAATAAATAAGTAACATTGTTCAGTATGATTACTTTGATTATATTTTTTATTTTAAAATGTCATAAAATGATATCAACATCTTAAAGTTAACATTGATAAATAGTCGCATTTCATACTAATAAATTGGTTTAACATGAATTCCATTATTTACAATGATTGTTGTATTTATTGTCATTATTTGAGAAATTATTTTTCATTATCAATTTTATACTTAAAAAATACAGATAAGTTAAAATGAAATGTATTTACAATAAAAACTGAATATTAATTATACAAAATATTATTTACTATTTAAAAGTGAAATTGATTATGGAAGTACGTTTATTGTCATCCGATATTGTTAGTAAGTCGATTAATATATTTTAAAACTTTAAAAATAAATATGATATAATTATGATATCCATATATTTACGATAAATAATAATATTAAGTAAATTGATTGTATAAATAGTATGCAATATAAGTATACATATTCGTATTGTATTATATTATTAGATAGAAGTAGCCAGATTGTAATAGTCGATTAGTAAAATGAATACACAAATTAGTTACAATAAGACTAAAACTAAATCGTGATACAATTTTAAATATTATTCAATTCTATAATTATTATTACTAAATACACGTTCATTCATTTTTACAGTAGAATCGATTCTTATCAAAATTCATGTTTTATATTCATTTTAACACTATCCCTACAATAAATTCTTTCTCGTCACTTACATAAGACTACGTTACGTCTGAAGTCCAAAAGGAACTTCGTCTAATATTTTATATAACTCATAAACACGAATGAGCCGAATACATTACGTTAATATACTATCCGGAAGACATAAATTTATTATTATCGAATATCAAATTTTATCATCTAACACGTTTTTTTTATTTATAAAATAACCAACGTATTTTTAGGCCTTAATTTAAACATAAGAATGATATTATTTAAAAATTAAACAATAAAGTGAATAATAAAAACAATTTTAACGTAATTTATATAAAGCATGTAGTATTTACGTATGATAATCAAAATTAAATAATAATATACAAAGTTTAGCATTTTTTTATATAATGTAAATGAATTTTGACATAATTTTGTTACTTTAGAACTTATAGACACACGGATATTTTGTAATGTTGGTCTTATACTTCGTTGTTCTGGGTACCCCTTTCATACAGGATACCCCTTTTTTAAATTATTTATACAAAAATTGTATAATTCTAGAACTATTAAGGGCAAATTATATATAAATCGACTATTGTTTACAATAAACTGGTCTCTACCTTACGACTACCTACTATTGTCTTTACAAACGTATTGTCTTATACAAATTAATACGCACTAAATTTATTCACTAATTTTCATTATTATTATCATATTTTTTTATAAATACAAGTTACTATATTAGTTTATTATGCCATTATTATTGTATAATAAGAATTGTATAGAATAATAATACGAGAATAATAAAATGTTAGCTAAACGGAGTTTTTAAATCTTTCTCAGATATTCCTTCGATCTGTTTCAAGTCTATCATTTTTTAATCCATATTTCATTATTCAATAGCCACCTGATATGATAACAATGATATATTATTTTTATGTAAGATACATAAATATTTATTTTCATCAGCAATTTTAGGAAAATATGCCCGTTCGTTATTTTGATGAATGCGAGTGAACATTAAAGATTTCTTGCTTATTTATCAAGCTAATTAAATGCGTATGCTACCTCTAGGCTCGCTCAATATATGTAGGATTGTAGGTACTTGCAATTAATCACCGGCATTTATCAATTATGTTTAAACAGGCCAAAGACAGTCGAGCCTTACTATTAAGAACTTCGTATTTATTGTCTCAATTTACATATTAAGGCCGTAACTCATTATTTTTATCAAACAACTGCCGATAATGTTTATACATAACAATATTAACATCAAGATCCACTAAAACGTTTACAACAACCTCAAAATACGTACTTACACATATAAAATTCAACAGCCATGTTTTTATCACTACCTACATGTTAATGCTATATTTTTTAAAATAAATCAGAAATCTAATTTCTGTCTATACAAAAACTTTTAGTAGTAATATGAACATGGTAAATAGAATGGTGTTTTGGATTTTGTTGGTTTTGTTGTATACGATGTATTGTCGTGTTGAGCCAGTGGGGCGTAGTTTCTGGCGCTCGGTTCTTTGAGCGTACTCGTTGACCGAGTTGTTGGGTGGTGTGAAGGCGCTGTTGTAGAAGTTGAAGGCATTGTTGAGCTCTGCTTGGCGCATGTCGGCGTCGAGGGCGTTCTGATTGCCGCGGTCATGTTGTTTCTTGAGGTGACGCTTCGGAGGTCGCGTTGTCGCAAGCGTTGTTGTTGTCGGACGCGGAGTTGTTGTTGTCGTCGTAGTTGTAGTTGTTGTCGTCGTCGTAGTCCTTTGCGGCGTTTCTGTTGAGAGACAGAAGTATTTGATTAGTATTGAATACGAAATTACACACATAAAATAGAATTATAAAATGTTAGCTATCGGAAGACACATGAAAGTACAAGTCACTAGAACCCGGACTTTCTAACAAAGTCTTAGTTCCTTGAAACAAAGTAATGTTTCTGATCTAAAATTCACATTAGAGCAAGTCCCAACCGTGTTTCACTTCCCTTTATACCCGAGTTCATGTGACCTGCAAAACCTATTACGGGTTTTAACTATTCATGACTTTAATATGACCGTACTAGAAAATGAATTTACCTTTCAAAGTGATGATGCCTTCAGCTTTGCCGTACCCGTTGGCCGCCGAACATGTGTATTCACCAAAATCTCCCTTCTTCAGTCGATTTATTGTCAGGTTCATTCGCAAAGCATACTCGTTCAGTATTTCCTCTGATATGACGTATTTTGAGCTGTTCAGCAGTTTTCCACCTAAGGAGAAAAAGGTTTTTATTAAGAGAGTTGGTTCAATCAAAACTTTTTGATGTATGAAAATTATTGGCGCCCAGCATAGGTTTCTTTAATTGATCTTATAAACAAAAATACCTAAAAGCCTTTAAAGTATTATTATTTTAATCGATATCTTTTAACTATAGAAATCACCATTTACATTACATAATAAACGACTATCAAGAGTTTATCTAAACTGGCGCCCAACATGGTACTAAAATTGAACATTCTTTTATAACTTACCGGCTTGTGATTTTCCTCGCTGCCAGGTGTTAAGTGATTTAGGCGAAGCTTCAACGTAGCATTGGAGAGTGACTTGCATGTCTGCCGCTCGGAGTACTACTGGACTCCCCACACGTACGATCGGCTCGACTGGACACAAATAATGGAGGGGTTAGAGTGAAAGGACGAAATATACGGGAATGTTCCATAAGTGATAAAATAAATTCTAAGTTGCACATTAGTCATTTTGACAAGGTTCTAAGTGACATTGATATTATATTGCAGATGGAACGTAAAGCAAGCAAGTCACTTCAGTTATGATGGTTAAAATAAGAATCAAATGTGGGTAGTAATTATAGTACCCCGTAAAGATTAATGTTTTCGACTTCTGAACCTTTAAATAGCGTTGAATACACAACAAAATTACCTCGAAACAGTGTCACTACTAAATAAACCTAATTATCCATACAAAAGAAATGATCAACCAAGTTAAACTAGGCTGAAATTAAGTCCACTCAATTAGGTTTACGCAAGCCTTTAAAGTCGGCCAATTCTGTTAAAGAGATAACTTGCATACTTTATATTCCAGAATGTCTGTATTTTCACATAAGTTTGTTCTTGTACTTTGTTCATACAAACTTATTTAAATGTCACACCAAGAAATTGCTTAAACTTTTGCGTTGGGAAATATATCTACTACTACGCCTTTTAATCCCCGACGGGGCAGATAGAGATACCTCTAACATATATAATGTAGGTATACAATGTAAATACATAAACATTTTTAAATCTTAATTTAAATTTCAATAAAGTTAGTGTTTACTACATTACTGTAACTTATACAAATGCTTACGCATTTTAAAAACTGAGACCCAATAGAATCATTATTAGGATCATTCCAATCAGAAGTACGTACGTAAGCACTAACTACAAACTCCATTGCATCCAATTTCTTTAACAGATATCCTACATCGCTTTGTTTCTGTCTCCATAGAATAAAACAACGTAAATACAAATTTATTTTCATTTAAAAACATATCATACTTACATAACACTGAGACTTCATATCGCCTGCTCTTAGTTGGCGGGACGCCATTAGCTGCGATGCACAAATACGTCCCCATGTCGGAACGCTGAAGTCCTTTTAGCGCCAAAGTCGAGCCAACGAAACTCTCTACCACTGGATAACAAAATTAAATTAATTAATATTATTTTAACACAAAAATACTTCTTAATTGTGCCGGACAGGAGATTAAGGAAATTTTCATATTTTTAAAACAATTATAATGTCTCTTATTAGGTACTACTTCGTCTAATCCCATTTAACGATTATCAAAATTAAACGTACATTTAGCTTCCAAAAGTTAACAATGATCTATTAGCAATTTAGCATTTAGCATAGTCCTAATCATAAAAGTTAGGATGTAAACTAAAGTTTGAGGTCACATTGACCCACGTGAAAGCGACTAAACTAGGTGTTTATTACAATGACCTTTAGTTCAGTATCAGAAAGCACCTTTAACGGGATCTAGGCCCTATATCAAGTTAAAAGACGGCGTCTTTATTGCTTATCATAAATCAGAGTAACAAGCGCATCGAACGGCCGTTTAAAAAACTTGTAGTCGTAAAATTTGTAATGTCCCAGTAAGTGAAGATAAAATATTTTACATAAAAATTGCCTTAAGAATTTAAATTTTTATCTAACAAAAAGTTATCAACTAAATTATTTGATATAACTTTTCACAAGACGTTTCAATAAACTTGAAAGATAGTCCTTTTTTTGTTGTCTCCCTAAACAGAGTTGTTTGCCATCAATAAAGCTTACTTAATTTTGAATGTGTTTAATTTAGAGTGCCTAGGTATGCAAATGCAAACATTTCGATAACACTAAAAGTAACTGTCATTTACAGGCCGAGGGCATTGACATTTGCATTTTATGTTATTTCGACACAGCGTTAAGAAAACGTGACATCTCCACGTCCACATTACGAGACATCAAACAAACTAGCAACTTCACCAGTTATGAATAAAGTGAAACGCGTCTTACATGAATAAATTTGCTAAAGCGGCAAAATCTTGGTCCATATTTATTACAACAATTTCGTAACTGAGTGCGCAACACCCAGGAGATACATTTTGGCCTGAAAAATTACGCCTTACTTTAACAATGAGATATACGTACGTACCCAATTGTTCGGTGTCAACCATAATCAGGAAACAACTTATTTATTGCCTTAAATAAAATGTAGGTAATACTCAAAGAACTTTGTACGTTAATTGGATACTTTGTAGGTTCATTATGTAATGTTGAATAGGTCAGAAGTGTTCAGAACTGCTTTTTATTGACACTATTGACTGGATTAATACGACCAAACATTAGCTCACAAATAAAATAAAAAAGAAGTGCGAGTAGAAAAAGATTCATTAAACAGATCCTTAAAAAGTGAATGAATGTTACCAATGCAATTGTTTCCTTGCTTCTAGAGTGTCAATGTCGTAATAAGAATTGCAAAGGAGCTGAGAATGAGGTGGAAAGGTATAATAACTTGAGCTCAACTATGATCTTTATTGCCCGTGTTAAACAAAGCGGCATCAAGTTCAGTTTTCATTAGTGCTAATAAAAATTCCATGTTGAAAGAGAACTCGAGGACAACTACACTGCTGGGTGTAAATAATTCTACGTACTTTTGTTACAAATTGTACATAACGTACTAAGTGATTGCTTTTTGGGAGCTATGATTGGGAAGATAAGGGTTTTCGTACTTATTAAATTCTAGATACGAGCAATATTATTGGATTATTCCTTTACAAAATTACTGATTCTAGAATTACTTTTATATTGTTTACTAAAAACTGCACTCGGCTACCCTAAACGAAAAATATTAACCAAACTATACTGAAAGATGAGGTAAAGCTGTATACTTCTACTTTATCTTTCAAACAATAATATACTGAAAGTATACCTCTACGCAGACATCCTATTTTTAGACCTTTTTCTTAAAAATTGTAGTAGGTATGTCATGGAAATAAACAATACTTGAACTTCATCTTTGTCCTTAAAAACATGAAAAGACCTCGCAAAGTAGCCTCATTAACACAACAAAATCCACATACTTATCCCAAATCTTCAGATTTTAATCAAAACATAAACAGCTAAAGCTATTCGTTCACGATGGCTGTCAAATTAAATTTAAATGGAAATAATTTATTGCTTTATTATAGCATACGACCCCCGCTACTATGGGCACATAAAATACTGTTACTACGTAATGCGTACAATATCAAAAGCGGGCGTTTGTATGAAATTGTATTTTATTAACGGGTTATAAACTTGGTTTGTGAGTTGCGACATGTCGTAGCCAACTTGTTACTTTAGACGTCGGCTCTGATTCAGCAATTCCCTGTTATTATTGCTCCAAGACTAATTGTTTTCCGATTTCATTTCTTGCTTGAAATATTTTCTGCAAGTGAACGTATTTTAAATGATGATATTGCTACATTAGTGAGCTTAATTGACATTAATTGTTATGTGATTTATGTTACATTATGTGATATGTGAATCTCAATTAGAATTTTGGAACAGATTTGAATCATTGTCTGTTGGTTTTAATACTTTGAGACTGCAGTTCAGAAGGTCAGGTTTGCTAGAGAGCGCTTCAGCCTCTATCAACTATTTAGATTACAACTTAACACAATCAAGCATTCGATTGCCCTCTGCAATCTCTCAGTCTCCAATAAAATAATCCTTAAAACAACTAAGGCGACTTAAATACTCAGTTAATCTTAGTTCGTTAATCAAAATACACATTTTCGTTGTTTCGCTTTATTAATACTAATTAAGTTTATTACTGTCGCTTTTATAAATTTAAAGATATTGGCTAATATTACAACTCTAAAGTCTGTATGTCTGGTTGCCAAATACTTAAAAACGGCTTTATCAATTTTAATAGGACATGGTCGCAGATTTAACTATACTTTGCTGCAGAGTTGATTCATTCACTTTCCCTGATTCAGTTTTATTACTAACAAAATGAAAAGCCTTAATAATACCCAGTTTAACTGACATGCTCAACAGCTACTCTTTCAATTACTGAATCAGTCAAGGCGAATTGAAATATGTCTTGTATACAAATAGTTTGCTTAGCAAAGAATACAAAAAAATATAAATTCCCCGCAGTATTATTAAGCTGCATTGCTAGCTCTCAGATTTGTTCGGATTTTTACTTTACTTTATGAAAACAAGCAATTAAGTATGAAATTAAAATTTATTCAGTAATTTCTGCGGTTGTAAGTACGGAACTGAGATACAAAAGAGTAATAATTATATAGTTTTGAAAAACTCTGTCCCCTGATTAGAAAAGTCAGTGTACGGAAATGAGACTGGCATTCGACCAATTTTATTAAAACTTATGTCATACCCATACATTTTTCTGTTTATTAGTTTAACATAATAACATAAAATCACACCTTTTATCTCCGTATGAGTAGGCAGAGGTGCACATTACGGCACTTAATGCCACTGGACAATGTAACAAACACCCAATGTTCCCTATTTATGTATGTATCCCATTTAATAGGGGGTGAGCCTATTGCCATATATCGGGCGCAACTCCAAGCAAGGATGTTTTTCAAAAAAGCCAGTATTACTTTGCCCGACTCGAGAATCGAACCCGAAACTCATTGACCGGTAATCGCACTTGCGACCACTCGGCCAACGAGGCAGTCACTTGTTCAACTAACCTGGAAATGCCGTTTTGTCTAGAGTAGCTGATATTATAACCATTTACCTATAAACCCTTTGTACAAATAGTATAGTAGGTGCTAAGGTATTTTCACAACAAATTCAACAACAAATGATTTCTTGCAAGAAATACATATTTACACTATTAAATAAAAGTTTCTTCATTTTATCATTCTGCAAAAAATTTGCAACAAAATAATTTTGTATCGTATTGTTCTGTACTGAAAAGAATGACAAATTGTCTTATCTTGTGTACACCCAGAAGCTGACATAAATACAGACAAAAATACAATTAATTAACATCTAAGAAAGTCTCAGTTTCCTTGTTACATGTGTTGTTAATTCAATGACACGTATTGGCTTCCGGCTTACGTTCTATTTAGCCATAAGGGCCAAATTTCCTCGTATTGTTCTCAGATTTCGTAGAAGATTTCAAATAGATTAAGGACGAGAGAATACGGCAGCTTACTTAAAACTAATTGTTTTCATCAATTAGTGTAACAACAAAATAATACGATTTAGGCAATTATAGAAAGAAAGTTGAGAATTAATCTCACTTGTAATGCTTTACTTCTAATAAAGGTCTCAAGTTCTTAATTAACAGCACATGTGATGGAATCAATGATTTACAATTTCTACGCTCAGAAACAAATTCTCAATAATCCGATCCCGGCTCGCGTTCGCCGCAGGGAGGGAAACGAAAAATGTGGAAAAAGGAAGACGTGAATAGCTACAACGAAGGCAATTCTTACATATTTAGTGAAGCGTGTTTAACATGTCCAATTAATACAAAGGCAGAGCCGGTTCCACCACTCTGTTAACTATTACAACCGCCCTCCGTTTACAGAGGGACGCCAGTCTTTTGTTTACGCTTAATGGCTTAAATAAAACGGGTCAAATTCGTAAAACACCGCACCGAAAAGGTTTTAAATAGCCCAACAGAGACCGGCAATTTTGGGTCTAATGCATTTAGATTAAGGTATAAATTAGAATAAGGGATTACACGCCATTAGAAATACAACGATGCGTATGTGTTAAAATGACTAGCCCTATAATTGTTTTAACTCCTATGTCTTTTCACCTAGTGTCGCGTTGCGCTATAAAGGGTATGTCATTATAACTATAAGAGATAACAACCTTTTGTCAGGCCGGTCACTAAGCCGTTCGTTTAATTTCCTGACTGAAACCCGGATTGCTACAATATTTTGTTTAAGTAGTAATTGAGTTCTTTGAACACGTTTTTTCCGCGGAAATGAATTCCGGCCGTGAGCATCAGACGTCGCTTTCTTTTGTTTAATGTTGACAGCCCTGTATTTTTTTATCGTAGAAAAAATACTCTCATTGAATTTAAATATTACGTGAGCATTTCGTTTAAATGATTTATTTATTGTGTAAAATCATAGGTTTTAATTAAAACTGAGAACAAAAAGCTATTATTTTTATTGAAGGCATAAAGTAAATCGGTTTAAGAATCAATTTGTGTGGGAGTTTCTTATATAACGCGAGCTCGGTTCGTCTCGACTGTCGATATGGATAATTTGTTTATCTACTCACAGAAGATAAATAAACGTTGCATGATTATATGTGCGCGATCATCTCGTTCCATCATTATTTAGATGTCATTCTGCGAGCTCGTTGTACATTTATATCGAATTGGAATTTTCTTTCCAATATCCTTAGGCAATATCTTAATAAATCCCATAAAACTCCAATGTTTTAACCGCTCTAGCACCTGCGCCCGCTCCGGGCGGGCTTTGAATGCAAAATTAGTCTTGTTTCTTTTTTACCACTTAGCCGGATCTCAGTGATGCGAATAAAATTGAACGGAAAATTGACGTTTTATTTTTTGCCTTTAAATGGTACGTTGATAATTATCTTTTATTTCAAACAATTGGTACATGGAAGAGAGAAGAGTACTTCCAATTCTACTTGACTATATCTTAAGTAATTTAATTTTGTTCAATGTAAAAGTTTCGCGAGATCATCTGTCGTTATAACAATACATTGTTTTTGAAGCATAATCACTTACCTACGCTGTGAAAATGCAAGGGGACGCCCGTTTTTATTTTCACTCAAAAAATAAGGAATTTCCTCAATCAATCACTGTCGCAAGAAAGCCTATCAAGAAATTAAAACTCTCTCAATTGGAAGGATTTAGATCATATATCTAAATTCTTCTCCCCAAGTCAATAGGACATTAATCTTTTCAAGTTTGCATTTAATGCAGATTCCATATATTATGTGTAAAAAACGACGAACCTTTTTAGTCGGCTAAAAGAAAAAAATGGAGTTTAACATAGTTGTAATCGGGTTGACTCTTTGCCAGAATTCCATTTACATAATATTCTCAGGGACATAATTCCAATGTTTAGCAAGAAAACCTTGCTATTCTTTTGTAAAATCTACGTAGATTTCTGCGATTAAATTCAGCTGATTTGGCACTAGCCTTTCTCTAACAATGTTAATAGGAAAAACATTGTGAAGTTTTATATTTAAAACATTAGGATTAGGTTTCCTTAATGCGTACACAGAAATGTGTATTTGTTCGTGTAATCAACTATTTATAAGACACATTATAATTCCCTTGTTATGAGGATTATTACTGTCAACCCACCGAGCACAATTTTAGACTCCAAGCATGGTATTGTTAAGAATTTTTATAATCTATGTAATATTAACTAAAAATCGTGGGTTACTCACATGAAAATACTTAGAAAAGCTCAACTAATTTCGAACCACTGTGGGGCTCTTCCTCATTGCTCATGAGGAAGAGCGTGCAGTCGCGGCGATTTCGTTTCACGCACTAATAGAGCTTTTCTCAGTATATTCACGTGAGTAACTAGGATTTTTAGTTAATTTAGTATGTCTCACGATAGTTTAATATCTATCTAACTATTACATAAATGTATGATTGATGTAATACTTGATAACCCAGATCTGACTTCTATTACAGCTCCATACAAAGGCATCTGTAAAATATCGCCTTGAGCGATAAAACCCATTGTTTACTCTATTTTTGTAATTTTTTTCTTATAAAATATGTAGTCTGCAATAAAGTATAGAGCTAGCAACCACAAAACAATGAACCAATCAGAAGCTGTTACGCAGCTAGTCCAAAAAATAACCCCACCTTTGACTTCCTTTCCATTGTCATCACGGAACACAATATTCCGTCCTCCAGTCCGCTTCCAGGATATAATAGGTGCTGGGACTCCAGCCGCTGTGCAGCGAAGCTCCACTGAACCTCCTTCAGGAGCACTGGCTTCGGAGCCGTCGTCATCGGCAATGTCTGGTGGTATCACCACTGAGAGGTGTCCCATCTGTGAAAGAGATGTATAGTTAGTAGACTAAGCAGACATTCACAGAATGCTTTATATAAAAGTATCACAAGATGTTTCAGTTACGTTACCTTTCTATTTTTTTGTCAATAAAAACAATAAATATAGTTTTGAAAAGTTTGTTATGAGTCAATAATATTATTGTTCAAAGGACCCAATGAAACATAAAAATAACTATTTCGATAAAGAAATAAAAATACACAAAGAATACTAAACCAAGTCTAAAGTTACCTTTATATCCCGGTTAACGTTTCGTTCACTAGAACCCAATAACTAAAAATTTACGACCAAACGAAAACGGTAACGTCAAAAACTAACATTTTAGGTACGTTACGTTACATAAAAAAATGAACCATAATAGTATTGTAATCAAATAACCTCATCGGTGCCTTTTGAACCGTACCCCTTACCTAACCTACAACTAAGGGATCTTAATTACAAACGTGACAGATATTAAATATAACTTGTAATGTCGCTCTCTCTATAATTAATAACGGTTAGAAGTTACATATACAAACTATGTATACATATGTAGATACTTTGAGGCTGAGCTGTGAATAGGCTTCATTTAGAGATCTGAAGAACGGATTATGTACTAAAGCGGTTGTCACTAGGCTGGAGTTTATTAAACATAAATATTGTAGTGGATTACTTATTGACTACTTAGGTATAAAGCTGACTAGTATTTGTATTTGTTAATCACTTCTTATCTGTATATAAAACTGACTGTACGGTTGGTGCGGTGGCTGGGAAACCGGCTGCCGCACAACATGTAACGGTTTCGATACCTGCAAGCGGCAATTTTTTGTGTGATCCACAAATTGTTGTTTCGGATCTGGGTGTGATATGTAAACTTGGATGTTCGTAAACACACCTACGACACATGAGATAATCCGGATGTTTATAAATAAGAAAAAAAAACTAGAGGGCGGCCATATTGTCACAAACTAAGCACAATTTCAGTGCTGTGTGCTGTTATTTAAAACCCAAAATTTTCTTTTACCAATCCAAGAATCAAACATAAAAACTATTTTTCTTAACAATAACACTAGTATCAACTAATGACAACCACAACAGTTGTACTACCAAATCAAGGCAAGACACACAGACACACAAACGTTGTATAATTGTTATAACAAGTCTGCTCACCCCAGCATACAACCAAATAATTCCCAAACAAATACGCTGTAGCCTCAATAAATACTCGAACCCACAATCTTGTACACAAATGGCTAACTTTAGGTTAACTGCGCTGTTTGCCAAGAGTAAACGATTTTATTTCGGACTGTACATTTTAGGAGTTGCACTTTTCAAGTTGAAGTTATATGCTTTCTTTAATGTAAAACGTGAGGCTAAGTATAATTGTTTATTAAATAGCAATCCTGTTATTCTTCAAAGAAAAGGTAAGGTACATAAAGGAGATAAAAGACTACATAATATTATAATGTAACTCTTGGTCAGTTACAAGTCCCTATAACCATATACTGAGCACAATGTTAAACAATTTTTTTTTTAATAGTTCAACAATGCTGTAAGTATGGGAGAGCCATGCGTCAGTACAAATGGGCCGGCTCGGAGTGATACCACGGCCTCACAGAAAACCGATGTGACAACTCCCTCTCCCTCCGAAATTCCTCAATTTCCTAATCCCCAAAAGGCCAGTAACGCACTTCTAACGCCCTTGGTGTTCCAGGTGTCCATGGGTGACGCCGAATGCTTACCATCAGGTGATCCATCAAGCATATCCCCCCCAAAACAATTCTTTGCCCAACCCTGAATCAAATCTGTGACTCCTTGCTTAAGAATAGGCATTTAACTCTTTCAGTGTTGGTGGTCACTGTAACTAACCACCTTTTCTTAGAAATTCAATTTTAGAAGTATGCTTCAAATTACTTTGCATTGGTTTTTAAGCATTTCAGTATAATTGAATAAAATATATTCGTAACCAGTTAAAAGTGTGACTGAAAGAGTTAAACATATATTGAGACATTTTACGTTCCTTTTCCAATAAAACTCTCAGTTTCTCAATAAAAAATGAAATAACTATACGTTTTCATTTAATTTTACTCAGACATCAACCCTTATCTCCCTTTCACATTCAAATATACTATCTACCAAAATATATGAACAACATAAACAAAGCTCACTAATTCAGTTAGAAAATTTATTCAAACACATTTCATATTGTTATCGAGTAACTGAACCTATTTTATTAGTTGTATTCTGACAGTAGAATGAAAACAAACAAATGAAATGGCATTCAAATTGTGATGTAATGTGACGTCACAGTACTGAAACCGTTATTTTTTTAATTGTTTTGTTTATTTTGTGTAGATGCTTTTTTTTTTGATAGGAATGAAAATCATGCCAAGAAGAGTAACAAAAATATTGCTGAATATCAATATGATAGATTGCAATTCATAATAATAATATAAAAAAATAAGACGTAGAGTAAATTGTAGTAGGGAAAAAAAATTTTGACAAACATTTAATATTTATAAATAAAAACTATTGTGCTAAAAAATAAGTGTGGGAAAGCTGGGCTGCCTCCACGGGAGTGATACCACGGCCTCACAGAAAACCGACGTGAAACAACGCTTGCGTTGTGTTTCGTCATCTCCAATCTTCAATTCCAAATCCCCAAAATGGCGATAACGCACTTGTAACGCCTCTTCTGTTCCAGATATCTGATTGCTTACCATCAGGTGATCCGTCTGCTCGATTACCGGCTTATCTCATAATTAGCGCAACCCTTAACCAAATTTGCTTAACCTTTTAGTACAATAGAAGGTGTGATGATACGTCAACCCGAGAATCGAACTCAATACCTAATTTACTCAGTGACTCGACCAACGAAACAGCTTTATTTTGTCTTGTAAATAATTAATTTTATTGTTGTACTCCCTCTTTTGATTCATTAATTTCTAATCACACTTCGAAAGATTACTTTAACAGCCCATCACTTTACGCTTTAATTATACTAAAATATAAATTGACGGAGCAAAATATACTCGTTAATTTTGCTGTGAGAATAATAATTAATTACCATAATAAAGCACACGTGTCTTTGTAAAATTCATCAGAGCATTTTTTCTTTATCACGCACGTAGTACGAAAAATTGAATTATCTGTTTTATAAAAAATCTATTCTATTTTATTAGGTTGTTGATTTACTTTAGAAATACGATAAACGTCTTTGTAAAAATGGATAAACAAAACGCCTTCTCATACAATTAATTCACCTCATAGCTTAGCACTCTGAATCATGAATTCACTCATTTAATCAACGACATAGCCCCTTTTAAAACTAGCGAACACCCATAACATTTCAACCCGTACGAATAAAATGTGTTGGTAATGGAATGAGATGAAGTAAAACTCGTTAAACTGAATTAAATGTTCCGTAGCGTAGCCGTAGCAAGACGGACCGAGCTAAACGATGGCAGCGTAGCGGCCCCGCTACGAACTGCTACGAACACGTAGCACTGCTACAAGCTAAAAATTGGTACATGCTAGCCATTTGTTGAAGTCAATTAAGTTAGGCACTGGCCTATAAAAACTTGAACGTATTCGAGCCGCACGCAACACACACAGATATTAATCGGGGACATTACTGGCATACTCTTAGTTGGTTCGCGTTGCAGACAAAGGAAAACACAGTCATTACGGCGCTCGCTCCCACGAGAAAACAACTAACTTAACGTAGAACGTCGCTGCTGGAGGAAAATCGACTATTATACTAGTTTCATACACGAAATGTTATTGTTTAATTGCTCTGCTCTGGTAAAAATGAGCGAAGGTACCTTGTAGTAACTATTGTGTTTTCTGTCTAGATTAGTGTAATTTGTTAATCTTTTTGCTTTATAGTGCACTTTACTCTTCATAAACTAACAACAGATGTTTGCTTAAGTAGTTATATCTGTAGACGTTAGTTGATATAGAATGCCATTGTGTAACATTATACTGCATCGTTTATCTCCGACACTAAGTACAATAGCACCTAAGATACCGTTTACACAAGTCCTTTGTGTAACAGATTATCTGTTCAGGCTCAACCTGAACTCTGAAGTGAAAGTTAGTGTCGGGATTTGTATTGAAAAGATGTTCGGAATCTCATAGTTTGTATTCCTATAGTTATTCTCCCGTTTTTAATAATGTAAGGTCAGAGGTCCGTGAATGTTGCATGAAGACGTATTGTACCCATTCCTGGGCCCGACGGAGTGACTTTGACAAAATTCTCCGCGTAACACCCGACCTCGGTATTCGAGGGCCAGGTAGACGCCGAAAATCGCCACTTGGATATTTTTGTACCTTAAACAACACCCTTTTGATGGTGAAAGACAAAGAGCAATTTCACTTTTTATATTTTCTCTGTTTATTTTTCACGGAACTCTGGACTTTTTTGTTTATGTGTGAATGGTGGTGAGTTCCGTGTTCGCCTATTCATGATTTGAAACAATAAAATATTATGATTATTAAGTACCCAGTTATTAATTCATTAAATACATAACCTAGTTATATGTACAATTTTACGAAATATTTTTATTGGTAAACCAGTTGAAATAGCAATAACGTTTGTGTAAGAATGCGATACACAGCACGTATTGTCTGCGATTCCGATTTCTGAAGGAAGCCAGCGACACACGGACTTTGACAGAATTCCTCGCGAGTTGCACGACTGAGCGCCACTGAATGACACGCATTCCGTCGGCAAATATTCACAGATATAATTTCAACGTCCTACAATTTAAACTCACTGCGAATAGATAAAGTTCTTGTTACATTTTTCTTTAAATTTCAACAATTTATGATGTTTTAAAAATTTTATAAAATATTTAGTAACTATATTTTCTGTCTCTTTCCTCTGCAGTGTAAATTCTTAGAGACAGTTCCGTGTCACATGAATTATGTAAATTCGTGGTGCAGGCCGCGAACCGAGTAGCTCCGAGATTTACATCCGGGAAGCGCGCGACCTCACATTA